TTAAATATAAAAGAATTAAAATTGAGATTAAAAATCCAGTGGCACAGTCACATTGGTCACTTTTCAAGTGTTCAATTACTGCCTGTGGCCAGCAGCTATTGCACAGTAGCTGCTAGACAGTGTAGTTGCGTTTTGCCCCAGTCAACTGAGATTATAATACTTTATTCCTTACAGGAAAAGCTCCTCCTCCTCCAATGGTGAGCCATATCTCTTGACTTGTCAAGGTTCCTCCTACTCAGGGGTAAAGCAACAGGGAGGGCAAGAAGAAAGAACTTCCAACAAGACCCCCGCCCCCTCGGAGGTCTGAGGGTGTAGCCAAGAGAATCCTTTCATAAAATAAAGCCTTCTTTAATATTCTGAATAACAGCTTTTTACCTATATTGTTCAATATGGTAGCCACTAGCCACATGTTGCTATTTATAATTTAAAATGTAGTTAATTAAAAGAAACACACAATTAAAAATTCAGTTCCTCAAGCACACTAACCACATTCCAAAAGCTTAACAGCCTTTGGCTAGTGTTTCTTGCCCTGAACTGCAGCAGAAATAGAACACTTCCATCATTATAGAAAGTTTTATTGAACAGCACTGCTTTATACTATGGGTCTCCTCATTTTTTTTTTTCTTTTTTTACATATCCTCTTAATGAAGGATCCAGAATATTTCGCTCTACTTTCCAGTAGATCTCCCAAAATGCCAGGAAATAAACTCAGGTGCCTATTCACGCACAGTTTTAAGGTGTGCTTACTAGAGTTCTGACCTCCAAAACCAAAAGCCTAAATATATGTTTGTATGGCTGGGAGTCTATTCTTTCAGTATATATATCAAATCTTCATCAGATTCAAAAGCAGACAAGAAAACTGGAACACACAAGTTTTCTGGTGGCAATGGCTTGGGAACAAAAGAAATGGAAGGAGATAAATCTGACTAAATCTTTCGTATGAACACTTTTGAGTGGCAGACCACATTCTGAAAAATCTTTCAACGATAATGCAGAAAGTCTGCTGTGCTAACATCAGAAAAGTCCTCAGAGACAGGCAGTCTTAAAATGTTCACACACGGACAACAGTATTTGTGGGCTCCAAGTTATCTTTGCCCTATTTGTTCTCACAGGACAGATAATGACAAGTCTTGATAGTTACAGCGAAAGATCAAATATACCACACTGTGATTTGTCTGCTACTGTACAATATTTGTTCCAAAGATTACGATGAATTACTGATGAATATAGATCAAGACAATGTCCCTGAAAAGTTAATCATCTTGCTTGCTAGGCAGAAGACTCCCCACCACTTACAAGTCTATCTGATAAACAGCCAGAACTGACCCAGCAAAGACAAGCTCTTTAGGTCACATGATCACCATGCATTTCATCTTCAGGTAGAGCCAGAGTAAAGCAGCTGCTTGAGAAACAAAAGCCAACTCTCAAGAGCCAAATTTTTGGAGAACACCCAAAAATATGGGACTTGAGAATGAGTTTTGCAGGGCATCGGATTAACTGACTTAAGTGTGAATCCGGCATCTGGCTCCGAATTCCAAGCAGCTCACTCAACTACTACAGTATGGGCTGTGCTGAGACCTCTTCCTCCTTTGAAGTAAGTCATCACACTTGTGGTCTGCTTCTGTCATTCGATACCAAGTACTGCACTGCATACCATCCCCTGTGTTGTCTGGTACAGCTTTTTAACTCTCAGGTGTGGGTATACAAATTTCAACTACACTGTAAGCTCTTGGACTCTGTATTACAGTTCTTCTCTCCACCAAGCAGACAGTAAACACTCAAGCATTTAGAAAATGGAGATGACGACAAGGCTTATAGAAATGGACAGAAAACCACCCATTTGTTTATCTGACTCCAAAATTAGGCTGGAATTGTTAGCAGATTCATTTTCTCCTGGCAAACAAACAGAAAGCAACAAAACTTCAGAACCAAACGATACCAAACATGTGTAGCAAGCCAGTCTCAAACACACCCATATTTTATCCAAAAAACTGAACAAATACCAGTAACAGGACATGTCAGACTTTGAAGCAATTAAAAAAAAAAAGTTTATATCTGACTTTAAGTTAAAATCCTGTGCACTTATAAACACATATATTCGCCTGGATAGTATTTAAAAATAGTACTTCGCTAGCAAAATCCAAGTCACCATATGACAAGGTTGTTACATCAACATATTGAAACTATGATTCAGGGCAAGTTTCAGGGAAAAACTGAAGTTACTATTTATTGTCCTTCCTTTCAAACTTAGAAGAAATTATTTACTGGGTCTTCATAGTTGAATCTTGATAGCTATTTAAATAAATCCATTGGACCAGAAATGTAACTGATGCACATGGTGCTCCTCCCCGGGAGCCTCTGACATGAGTTCACACTTAACTGAGCTGCATTATTCTGGACAAGATATACCTCCACGTCAATATCTCACTGCACTACTTTGTTTCTTTTTGCAAATACCAAAGCAAAAAGGATTGTTGAATTTCTTTTTGTGGTTCTCATTAACAGAATCAAGTGAAAGAGATTTCTGAATTACTTGTTCTAAATTGGCATTTCTGAAACTGGGATTGAAAGATTTGTTTCAGGGGTTTGCGATGATTCTCTGAGAATTTCCTAAGCTTGCCTTTTGATTTTCATAATCATAATCTGGAACATAATCATAAACATCCACCTCATAACTGTGTAAGCCTATGATTTCAGTGACCACGTGTGTATCAATGTTTAAGATTACATTCATCTTAAGTCTCCAAGAGGGACAGAGTTTAGTTTTTAAGGAAGTATTTCTCAAATTGGGTTTCAAAGTCTATGTTTTGATGTTAAAATCTGAACACTGCTCTAGATTTTTATACTTTCCAACATTATCCTACAAGGCTTTGTTTATTTGGTGAATTTAATATGTATCCAGTGCCTACTTATGTTCTAGGCACTGGAAATACTGTTGGGAATAAGAGATCAGAACTTGTCTTTATGGAGCTTATAATTCCGATAGGAAAGACCAATGCTGTTAAAGAAGTCTGGTTCCTTGGTTGAAATCACACTTAAGGAATTGTTTACTTAAAAAAGAAAACGAAAAACAGTGATCTGGTCGCCTCACCAACTGCTACTGTGGATTAGAGAATCCATCATCAACATCCATATAGTCTCAAAATATTCTAAGAGCTTGAGGTCAATCTAATCTTATCTGCTTGGAGACAGAGAAAACGATCCTCTTTTGAAAATTCTTCAGAGAAGCCCAGTCTCCTCTCTTTGCTTTAGGTTATGCTTCTCATAACTGGACAAAGATGCAACCCAACTAGAGATCTCCTGGCTTTTTGAGAAACAATTTTATAATCAGTGAGATTCATAAGCAGCTTTGGATAACACCCTTTGTCCTTCTGATTGGGAAATTTCTATGGACAAAAAAAAAAAAAAATTAATGAAGCTAAAACAATTACAAACGCCTAAAGGGCACTTCTAAACTCAAAAAAGTTCATGGATAGAGGCTAAATAACACAATGCAAAAACTCCCCTGAACTTAACCTTAACAACCTTGAATAGAAAAAGGAATGAGATTCAGAGAACAGTGGCTACTATTAGCTACTATTTATCCTATCTATAAACTATTCCTTTCATGACATCCTAGTTTAAAATGGAGAGGGAGGGGGACCCAAAGATAACATGTTATCAGGTAAACCAATCTAATTTTCTAATTGAGAAATGGGTGTCAGATTCCCTAAAAATAGTTAATAGGTTTGAAATATCTTGGTTTCTGGACCAAAGTTTCTAAGCCACAATGTCCTCAAATGAACACTTGAGACAAGATCTCCAGAATTTTGGAGCCATCCCCTTCTCCAGTGTGAGTATGACAGTTCCTACTGGGTTTTTTACCCCGCCATGGAGTTCCAAAAAAGTGTCAGCCCTGCCAGAAATGAAGCACACTGATCCTGTAACTCTGAACAAGTAGTAGTTCCGTGAGCTAGGGAACTTCTACCAGAATCTTTTAGCAGACACTGCGAGGAGGGCACCAACCAACTTACCTAAAAAACAACTCCGTATCTGCCAATACCACAAACCTGAACTCCAAGATTAAAAGTCAGCAGGAACACAAAACAGTAACCCGACTGGAGGTAACATTTCCAGCCCAAATTAAGTCTCTGTACTGAAACCTTCAGGTACACAAGGATGGCCAGACGCACCGTGAGAGCTTCACTTGTCACCACATCCGGCACAACAGCTAAGGCAGGGAAACACAGGCTTTCAAGGAGGAGCTTCGTCAGAAACACTGCAGGGCCTCAAGCCAACGTAACTCTGGAGGCAACACACTCAAATTTCGGACCAAGTATCAGCCAGGCTAACTTTAACGTGCCCTAACTCCACAAAAGCAATACAGTATCAGGCTACAACCGAGCCTTACGAATTCTCCAAAGCATCTCAAGACTTGATCGCCCTTCGAGTTAGAAGCAAGCTCAAGGCAGAAGCAAGACAACTGACACAAAGGCCATCGTCTGAAGGCGCCTTTCGTACGGCTCTGCCCCTGGCCACTCACTTGAAAATTCCTAAACTGGGGGGTAGCGGGGGGAGCTCAACACCTCCCCCCCCTCCCGCGTCTATCCCTGCTCCATCCCGCCCCGGCCGGTAAGCCTCTGCCTGGGAGCCCCCCCAGCCTGGAACAAAAGCAAGGAGCCCGGGCGGTGGGGGCGAGAGGCGCCGGCTGCACGGGACCGCCGCCGGGAGCACAATGCGAAACTACCAACTTCAGAGCGCAAGAACATCCTCGATTGGCAAGAAAGAGGGGCGGCGGCAGGCACGCCCAACTTCAAACTCAGAAAACCTACGGGCTGGCGGCCATCTGGAAAAAAAGCCCCCCCTTCCCAGGGAGAGAAGAAAAAAGGCGGAGGAGATGCGAATGGCCCACCGGGCCCCGGAGGGGAGCCCTGCGCTCAGACCGGCCCCCGCCCCCGAGGCCCGCTTCCCCGCCTTCTCTCTGCCTCTGGTTTGCTGCCCCAGGCCGGGCGGCCGGTTACCTTGATGCGCTCCCGGCACTGGGACGGGGTCCGCTCGTAGCCCAGCTCGGCCAGGGCCCGGGACACGCGCTCGTACATGGCCGGCCCGGGGGCCTTGCTGCCGAACACCGTGCCGGCTCCCTCCAGCTGCTGGTACCGTGCCTCCACCAGCCGCTCGTTGCCCCACACTGCGATGAGCGCGTTCGTCTCTGCCGGCGTCCACGACATGCCCCGGCAGGCGGCGGCGGCGGCTGCCGCAGCCCCGCCACCACCGCCTCCACCAGGGGAGAAGGAGACCGAGGACGAGGCGGCGCTGCGGCCCCCCAGCCCCAGCCCGAGACCCCCGGACGCCGCTGCCCCCGAGCCCGCCGCACTGCCCGGCCCGAGCGGGGAGGCACCCCGAGGCGTGGAAGGGTCGGACAGCGATGGGTTTCCGTCGCTCAGGCCACCAGGAGAAGCCGGGGAGAGCACCTCCATCTTCGGGATTTTTAGCGGCGAGTTGGCGGGCAGCTCCGAGCCACAGGGCGCAGCCATCTTCCAAGCGGCCGCCGCTGCACCGCCCGGAAGTGACGCGCCCTCACATCCGGCCGCCCCGGACTCCGGGGCTGTCCTCGGGCCTGGCTTGCTGGCGGGCGGGCGGCTGCGGGCCCCGGCGGCCGCGTGGAGGCCGCCCGCCGTCCCCGGCCTTTCTCCGCGCACCCGGCCGCGGCGCGCGCTCCTCTCCCGGGGCGAGGGGCGGGAATGAGGCTCGCCGGATCCCCGAGCGGAGGAGAAGGGTGGGGGCATGAGGGCGCCGGTGTGAGGAACAGATTGAAACCTTCCCACTTCCTCTCCAATCTCAGCCCCCGGGAGGAGGGGTGAGGCCCCCGATGGGGCCCGGAGTTAAGGAGGACTTGACCATTTCGCTCTCTCGCTCTCCTCCCTCGGCTCTGCCGCTCCCCTCTTCGGAACTGGCCTCGGGGTGCAAGGGCTGACGCCCCGGGCGGAGGCTGGGGAGCCCCGCGCCGGGCTCAGCCAGGAAGGCGCCGAGGCTGCTGGGAGAGCATTCCTGGGGAAGACTTTTAAAAAGCATCTGGGAACCAGGCTTGGTTTGTGCTCTGTAGCTTTTCGAGACTCCCAAGCGCAGTATTTGAAGAGCAACTCCTATTCCATTTCTGATCTATTTTCCAGTTAGTCTGGATGGGGGTGACGGTTTGTAGAACAGTTAGACGTCTTTATTGCGCTTGCACGATCTGTCTACAGCTTAAATTGAGTATGAACTCCCAGCCTCAGCAGAAAAGTTACTTTCCCATACCGTTCTCCATCTCCCTAATTGGGAAGTTACATTGTTTTTCCTACAGTTTTTCATACTCTCCAGTGTAAGGCGACGAAAAAAAGACTCAGTTATGATGGTTCTTGTGACCTCCAGTAATTAGTGGTAATCGTTCCATAAAGTGCTGCAGTTTAATGAACGTTAAACACCCCGAGTCCAATACATCGCTGTTAGCTATTTCAGTATTCTTCAAAGCCAAACATCTAATCTTAGATGCTAAACTTGAAGGCCCCAGCTGTTTGTTGTTGTTGTTGTTGTTTTTCAAATATAAATAAGCTATGCAATGGTTTTTTTTTTTCTTTTAATGGCAAATGTATATTAGGTTTAAAAAAAAAAGCTGAGGTCAACTGCATTTTAAACTTAAAATCAGGGCTTCCCTTTGTGGCTCAGTGGTAAAGAATCCACCTGCCAATGCAGGAGCCGTGGGTTCAATTCCTGATGGGGGAAGATCCCACATGCTGTGGAGCAGCTAGGCCAACCTGCCACTGATACTGAAGCCAGGGTCTCTAGATTCTGTGTGCCTCAAGAGACGCCACCGGGATGAGAAGCCCACACACGGCCAACGACCTTGGGCTCCTGGCAACTAGAGAAAAGTAGTACAGCAAGGAAGACCTGAGCACAGCCAAAAATAAGCTCAGAATCACCCCAGAGAATGACAGGGTTGTCATTGGAAAGCCAAAGGAATAAGCAACAGGGACAAAGTAGAGGAGATAATTGTCTCTGTATGCCATTTTAAAATGTCACCGTACTTTAAAAGATAGGAATATGAAGAAACGCAAATTCCAACATTTATGCTATCTCTTCCTTTTTTTCTAAGAGAAAGTTGTAGTCTAGTAGATGTATAACTGATTCCTTTTGCTCTACACCTGCAACTAACACAACACTGTAAATCAGCTCACCTCCAATAAAAATTCAAAACTGGGGTGGATAGGAGGGAGGCTCAAGAGGGAGGGGAAGTATGTATACTCCCAGCTGACTCCTGTTGTTACAGGATAGAAACCAACACAGTGTTGTAAAGCAATTATCCTCCAATTAAAAAATTAAAAGCAATAAATTTTTCACATCTTTATATATATATATATATATATATATATAATATATATATATATATAGTCTAGCACCACAATTAAGAGTATGAATTCTAGACTCAGAAAGCCTGGCTTCAAATTCCAGTTCTGTAACCTCAGCCAACTTATTTACCCAACCTTTTGGTGTCATGGTATCTCCAGCTGTAAAGTGAGGATGACCTCACAGCATTGTCATGAGAGTAAATGCATTAATACAGATAAAACTCTTCCAACGGTTCCTGGTTCTCACAAGCATGTGTGAGCACTGGCTGTCACATCACTTTGCTTGTACTCTAGTTAATCTAATCTTCCCTCTTCACTTTCTACTTCTAGCTTTCAGTGTTCTCATTTCCAACTCCCTCATGGGCTCTAGTGGAATCTTAGACACCTATGAAAGTAAAACTCACTCTCATTTAGCCCAACAGTAATTTTTTTTAATGTCAAGGTGTATAGTGTGTATGAAAGAGAAAGAGTGAGTGAAAGTCACTCAGTCATGCCTGACTCTTTGCGACCCCACGGACTATACAGTCCATGGAATTCTCCAGGCCAGGATTCTGCAGTGGGTAGCTGTTCCCTTCTCCAGGGGATCTTCCCAACCTAGGGATCAAACCCAGGTCTCCCTCATTGCAGGTGGATTCTATACCAGCTAAGCCACGAGGGAAGCCCTGATGAAAGAGAGTGATGTGCCTAAAATCATACATGAAATCAGAAACTCCACAGAGTTTTAAAATCATTGCTTCTCCCACTCTTATTTTTCCACAAGCCTGAAAAAAAAAAAAGCTCCCTCCTTCTATTGTTAATTCTGGGTGATCCTCAAATCACTCTGACTCATGCAGGAAGCCTTCCTGGATAAAGTGGGTTGACTGAGAAGTCTCCCTTCCCACTAACTTCTGTTTTAGACATTATTTCTATATTTCCCCCCCACCCTTTATTCCAACACCCATCAGTCTATCCAATGAGAAAAGCTTGTATCAAAAATAAAACTTCCAGTAACATTTTGAAGGTAAAATGAAGCCAATAATGTAAAAGCTATTAATACATATTCCATTCTATAGTGTAGAAGCACTGCCATATGATCACCAGGATCCTGTGACTGTGGTGTTGGTTGTCTTCTAGGAGTTGTGTGATATACTTGTTCAAGACTTCATGGTTCAATCAGGACTTGTGGAATGGCTGCTGCCTTTGAAGTAATTTGCTAACACCTTTTACTGTGGATCTAAATGGTGGTCATAAGTAGATAAAAACTTATTTGAGAGATAATGCATGAAATGCCTCAAAAATAATGTGCAAAAGAGTACAGGACAATACAAAACTCCTGCCTGTAAGCGATCCACTAATCTCCTTTAACTGTATAACCCCTCATCCATTTCCTCAACTGTTTGTTTTCCCAGCTTTTTAAAAAATACTTACTATATTTATTTTTAATTATTTGGCCGTGCTGGGTGTTAGTTGCAGCATGTGAACTCTCTCGGATGTGGCATATGGGATCTAGTTCCCTGACCAGGGGTGGAACCCTGGCCGGCCGCTACCTTTGGAGCTCGGAGTCTTAGCCACTGGACCACTGGGGAAGTTCCTTCCCAGCTTTTCTATGAAGTTTTCCCTAATGTGTCAGACAGAAGTCCTCCATCTGATACCCATTCACACAACTTAGCTCTTCACATTAACGTTTTCTGTTTCAGAAGCTTAGTTAATTCTCTTGCGTACTCTCACTGTGTTTTATGACTCAATGTGTTTGTTGCTGTATTTTTTGCCCTTCATATTCCATATCAAGTCCTGTTACCTCTAATTCTAAACTATTTCCTATATCTGACTACTTCTCAACCCTGGTCCAAGCCTCTATCTTGTCTTTACTGGACAACTGGACTTCCTACTTACATACTTGCATGCTTACACAGTAGCCAGAGTGAACTTGGTATTTTAAAACTTTTTTCTTGTGAAATATAATGTATAGAGAAGTACATAAAGCATGCATATACAACTACTAAATGAATTTTTATAAAACTGATACTATATGACCACATCCAAGACAGTAAATAGAATATAGCCAGCACTCTAGAAGCTCTACCCTACAACCCCTTCCCAATGTTAAACTCTATCTTCCTCATAAAAATAACCACTATGCAGGCTTGCCCTTCTTTACAGTTTTATCGAATGATTGAAAAAAGTGAAAGCGTTAGTCGCTCAGTCGTGTCTGACTCTTTGCGTCCCATGGACTTAGCCCACCAGGCTCCTCTGTCCATGGTTATGCATCGCTAAAAGTTTTCCCCAGTTTTGAATTTTTTGGAAATGAAATCACATGTATTCTGTGTCTGGCTTCTTTCATTCAATATTATGTTTTCAATTAAGATTCATCTAGTCTGTATGAGGCTGCAGTTTATTCATTTTTGTTGCTGTAAAATACTCTGTTTTATGAATATATCACATTTTATTTATCCATCCTACTGCTGAATCTTTGGGTTGTCTCTAAATTAGGATATTATGAATAATGCCGCTACAAACATTCTTGTACATGTCTCCCAGTGCATATGTGCAAGTATTTCAGCAGACTATATACCTCCCCCTCCCTTCTTTCCTTCTTTCTTTCCATGTGGATACATAATTACTCCAACTCCACTTACTGAAAAGACCATTCTTTCCTTCTTTTATAATGCTATCTTTGACATAAATCAAATGTCCATATGTGCATGAGTCTATTTATGGGTTCTTCTATTACGCTGGTCTGTTTATTTTTCTATCTGTGTTCCTCATGGTAATATCACACTGCCTTAATAGCAGATGACACAGGCTTTATGATAAGTCTTATATCAAGGACAGAAAATCCCTCTTCCACTTTTCTTCTTCTGCCTTCAAGAGTGGCTTACTATTCTTGATCCTTCACATTTCCATATACATTGTTAGAATTAGCTTGTCAAGTCCTATAGAAAAAAAGCTGTGGATATTTTGATTGGCATTGCACAAATAGTCGGACACGACTGAGCAATTTCACTTTTTTTTTAGTTGGTATTTTCAAAACACTCTTGTATCATTTTAAACACATTATTTGCTAATTGTTTTTGCTGTTATATAATAACACAATTGATGCTTGCCTGTTGATTTTGCATCTTAGTAATCCTGACAGACTGACCTTTTAAAATTGCAAATCATTTTGTATCATT